CACCAGCAATGTACAAGTGTACCCTTTTCCCCACATCCTCGCCAGCACTTGTTGACTTCATAATGGCTGCCAATCTAACTGGAGTGAGATGGTAACTTAGGGTGGTTTTGATTTGCATTTCTCTGACTGCTAGAGATGGTGAGCATTTTTTCATGTACTTGTTGATTGATTGTATGTCCTCCTCTGAGAAGTGTCTGTTCAGGTCCTTGGCCCATTTGTTGATTGGGTTGTTTGTTCTCTTATTGTCTAATTTTTTGAGTTCTTTGTATACTCTGGATATTAGGGCTCTATCTGAAGTGTGAGGAGTAAAGATTTGTTCCCAGGATGTAGGCTCTCTATTTACCTCTCTTATTGTTTCTTTTGCTGAGAAAAAACTTTTTAGTTTGAGTAAGTCCCATTTGTTGATTCTAGTTATTAACTTTTGTGCTATGGGTGTCCTATTGAGGAATTTGGAGCCCGACCCCACAGTATGTAGATCGTAGCCAACTTTTTCTTCTATCAGACGGCGTGTCTCTGATTTGATATCAAGCTCCTTGATCCATTTTGAATTAACTTTTGTGCATGGCGAGAGAAAGGGATTCAGTTTCATTTTGTTGCATATGGATTTCCAGTTTTCCCAGCACCATTTGTTGAAGATGCTATCCTTCCTCCATTGCATGCTTTTAGCCCCTTTATCAAATATAAGGTAGTTGTAGTTTTGTGGATTGGTTTCTGTGTCCTCTATTCTGTACCAAATTGGAAAGCAGTATGGAGATTTCTTGGAAAGCTGGGAATGGAGCCACCATTTGACCCAGCTATTCCCTTTCTCGGTCTATTCCCTAAAGACCTAAAAAGAGCATGCTACAGGGACACCGCTACATCGATGTTCATAGCAGCACAATTCACAGTAGCAAGACTGTGGAACCAACCTAGATGCCCTTCAATAGATGAATGGATAAAAAAAATGTGGCATTTATACACAATGGAGTATTACTCTGCATTAAAAAATGACAAAATCATAGAATTTACAGGGAAATGGATGGCATTAGAGCAGATTATGCTAAGTGAAGCTAGCCAATCCCTAAAAAACAAATGCCAAATGTCTTCTTTGATATAAGGAGAGTAACTAAGAACAGAGTAGGGTCAAAGAGCATGAGAAGAAGATTAACATTAAACAGGGATGAGAGGTGGGAGGGAAAGGGAGAGAGAAGGGAAATTGCATGGAAATGGAAGGAGACCCTCAGAGTTATACAAAAGTACATACAAGAGGAAGTGAGGGGAAAGGGAAAAATAATACAAGGGGGACAAATGAATGCCAGTAGAGGGGGCAGAGAGAGAAGAGGGGAGGGGAGGGGAGGGGGATAGTAGAGGATAGGAAAGGCAGCAGAACACAACAGACACTAGTATGGCAATATGTAAATCAATGGATGTGTAACTGATGTAATTCTGCAATCTGTATATGGGGTAAAAATGGGAGCTCATAACCCACTTGAATCAAAGTGTGAAATATGATATATCAAGAACTATGTAATGTTTTGAACAGCCAACAATAAAAAATTAAAAAAAAAAAAAGAAAAAGAGGCATTTCAATCGATTTTAACGTGGACAGCAGAAACAGCACCACGTGTATGCTTAACCCCATTGTTGTGTTTGTCCCATGCAGCAAGCAGGGAAAAGACAGGGTCCGGAATACAGGAAGGATGTGGGGGTAAAATGAGAGCATTCAGAAACAGCCCAGTATATGTCTTAAGAAAGTGGGAGCACATTGGCTCCTTCCCCTAAGAAAGAGATGGTTATGGCCAAGCTGGTTCAAATCACCACCAAATTTCCACAATGCCAAATATCACAAAGGCTTGGACGTGACTGGTAAGAAAAGAAAACAGAACAGTGTGCAAGGATCCAAGACAGGTTCTACCTGGTGCCTGAAACTTTGTGCTGGGGCACCAGGGATAGGAGTGTGTGATTCCCTGGGAGACCTGCCTTGGACAGCTGTGGGGACGACCCAATGGCCAAGTGAATTCCCATATGGAGTGAGCTATTACTACTAGTGTGGCAGAAAGAGTAATTGTTGGTGCAGAGCAGCGGTACGTCTCTTAGGGCTAAGGGTCTAGGTCAATCTTCCTTTGGAAGGGGAGTGGTAAGGCCTTTAAAGGAAGCCCCCACCTCAGTTCCATAAGCAACAAGAGTGCTTTTCTCCCCGTCATGGCTCCTAAAGCTGTAAAGGAAAAACATGGAAGAGCCATCCCTGAGGCCCCTAGTCGGTCTGTAATGAAGTCACATGTCCGTCCCCCCCAAACCGCAGTCTGCAGTCGTGACACCCCCTCCCATTAGCGTCTAGGAAGGAGGGGGACTGGAAGGAGGGGGGCAGGCACTGCGCAGTCTGGGGTGCAGGCACACCAAAGAGAGTTTTGGTATCCATCCGCTGCTCCCGCCCGCGCAGCGCTTCCCGACCTCCAGATACCGCAGCCCCCAGTCGCCCGCCCTCCCGCCAGTCCCACCAGGAGTAGGTGCAGCGGGAGACTGGGTGGTGGTCTGCACGCTAGGGTGTGCGGTGTCTTACTGAGGCTGCGGGTGCTAAGCCGCCCCTCAGACCCGGGCTCGCGCTGGCCCCGCCCACCTCTTGGTCGGAACTACGGTGGGCCTGGGAGGGGGCGTCGAGCCCATTCGCACCATATCCCTCCGCCCCCCTTCCCGACACCCTCGAGGCGAGCAGTTCTTGCCGCATCCTGCGCAGCCCCTGCCTGGTGTGGTGCAGAGGCGTGGGGGCGGGACGCCTCTTAGCAATTCTGCTAGCACGGAAAGCGGTGGGAGTCCCAGTGTGGAGCTGCCAGAGGACAGAACGGGAGAGGAGAGGAGGGGAATCCCAACGTCCTGGGCTCTGAGCCTGTGAAGGCAAGTGGGGTGTGCAGGGGGCGTGGGGTGGTCTTCCACTGTGGCCGGCTGACAGCTTGCCCTCCCCCCGCCCAGACTTTGGCATCCCTGCGAGGAGACAGCGAGCTGGCGGGAGCTGGTCCCTGAGAGGGGTGTGTGGAGCCGGGGGACCACTGGTGAGGAAGCGGCGGTGGGTCGGGGCAGGGGACGCGGTGCCCAGAGAGCCTCCAGCAGAGCCTCCGGAGGCCAACTGCAGCAGCTGCTTCCCAGCTACCTTCCCTGCGCCCGCGCTGCCCTCCTTGGTGTTTGTGCCCTGGGGGGAGGCTGTGAGGGAGAAATGGCGGCGGGCAAGTGAGGGGCTCCCGGGAGGCCGCAGTGGGTGGGAATAAAAACAGGGACTGGTGTCCAAGCTCTGTCAAGCCCAGCTGGCGTAGCGGGAGGTGGGTCGCCTTTGCCATTCCAGCCGATTCCGGAAAGGGGCCTGTTGGACCCCGCGTCGCTGGTGCTGTCCCTTCCCACAGGCTCCTGCTTGATGTCAAAATCTCCTGTGTGTGCGGTAGGTCTGGTGTGTTCTGACAGGCCAGAGTGCGCATCTGTAGAGGCGAGGCTTGAGGAAAAAGCGGAGCAGGAAAATGGCCTGGATTTCTGGAGGTGTGTGCGGATGGGGGGTGGGCACTGGGCACTGAGTGGACACCTGAATGGGAGTGGGGCGACTGTGACCAGACCTGGCCAGGCATTTAGTAGCACCTCGTCATCTCCTAACAGGTGTCCAGGCACTTCCCCTACCTTCTCCCTCCCTCTCCCAAATCGGGATCCTGAAAAGATGGACTTTGCCTGGGTGGGAGTACTGGGGGGGGGGGGTGAGGGAGTCGTAAGTAGCACTTACTCCATCACCTGCTTTCTAGAATGTGCGGTGCCCTTCCCCCATTTTATGCTGCGCAGGGCAAGGGGAAATGGCGCACCTAGTGGTGAGTCCTCAGAATTGGAGAAGGGAGTATTGGGAAGAGGATGACGTCAAGAGAAGGTGGTGTTACCTCTGGAGCCCTGCAACAGGGCCTAAATAAAACAAGAGTATTCTACCAGCAGGACCCTAAATGTGGAAAGACAGTTAATTTGGAGACTCCTATCCTTGGTGTTGGTCTGTCCACCAAGCTCAGCTTCTGCCCTTTGTTTTTTGTTTTTTTTTCTCCTGACTCTCCTAACTTTTCATCTGTTTGTTCATAGGCCTGCTTTAAGGCTGTTCAATTCTGCAAGAAAGGAAAAGAGGAGGAGGAGGAGACGGGCTCAAATCTCGGGGGGTGGGTGAGAGGGTGGGGTGGGGTGGGAGGCAGCTACTGAGGAAGAGCATGGTAGGTGGCTTTGGGCTTTGCTCCAAGTGGGTGCAAGACCGTGTTTACTTCTCTCTGCTAGACTTGCACACTGCCACAGCATCCTTTGTTTCTTCTGGCCAGAGATATTAGGAATGTTGAGGTAGGTGTAGGTTGGGCTCTGATGGATGATCCAAGAGCTGGAACCAGGAGACAGGGAACTTTAGACAGATAGGACCCTTAAACTGAAAGAGAGCTATTTGTTTTGGGCCAGGGTGTGTCCTATCTGTCAAGCACTCAGACTCCATTCTCTCCTGTATGTTTGTCTGTAGGACCCCCTGCAGTCGGCTGTGGGGCATAACACCATTTGAGCAAAGAAAGGAGAGGGAAATTGCACCACATCAGTGAAGGTTGGTATGGGCGTGGGTTCACTTTTGGGTGGGGTAGTGGAGACCAGCCACTACTGGTGGGGTCCAGGAGTGATTAGGATCTGGTGAGAGGCTCTTCTGCCTCTCTATGGATAACACACTTTCCCATCTCACCCATACTTATTTTGCAGCAGGCAAGAGAAACATTTTCTTATACCTGAGCTGTCCCATTTAGTATTCAACACTAGTCTCTCTGTGTAAGTCTCTGCATGAGGTGACACAGTTGGATGAGACTCAATCCCCCATTTCGTTCTCTCTCCCTAGATCCACCTCCAGTGGCAGCTCTGGTGGTGCTGGAGTTGCTGCTGACCACCACCCTCAACAGGTCCGCACCCACCCAGGAACCATCCATCCTCCCCCAGCTTGGTTGTGCCTCCTCTCCACTGTATCTATATTATTGACTGAGACTGTGCTTGGGTAGGAGCCTGATTGACTGCTGGATTGGCAATTGACTCTATAATTCTTATTTCCAACTTTATTTCCTGGATCATCAAAAGATCAGTGTGTGAAGATAAAAATCTGTGACAGATCTGTTGTCAAATTTGGGACAGTGGTAAAGGTCATTAATTGAGCCTTCTCTGTAAGTGTTACCATGACTGGGGCAGAGATTGAGACTGGTGCCCAGGCCAAGTGTGAAAAGAAGGCTGGGGAAGAAGTTGTTAGTGGGACTGAGCGAGAGAATGAAGTCCCTCTGGTGGTCAGACCCAAGGTTAGGGCCCAGGCCCAGGTAACAACTGGAGCAAGGCCTAAAACTGAAACCAAGTCTGCACCTGGGGCAAGGCCCAAAACTGAGGCCCAGAAAGTGGCTGGGGCAAGACTCAAAACTGAGGCACAGACAATGGCTGGGGCTAGGCCCAAGACAGAGACCCAGGCAATGGCCGGGGCACGGCCCAAAACTGATGCCAGGGCAGTAGGTGGTGCACGTCCTAAAAGTGAGGCCAAAACAGTCTCTGGGGCAAGGCCTAAGGATGATGCCCAGGCATGGGCCCAGACTGAGTTTGGTACTGAGGCAATGTCACAGGCAGAGGGAGCATCCCAGACTAATGCTGTCACCTGGCCATTGGTCAGTACTGATTCTGGATCAGTTACTAAATCTAAGGGCCTGCCTGTAGATAGAGAACTGGTCAGTTTGGATGCTGAAACCTTTCCTGGCAACCAGGGCCAGGCAGGAATCCAGCCCTGGTTTGGACCAGGGGAGGAGACTAGTATGGGGTCTTGGTGCTACCCCAGGCCCAGAGCTAGAGAAGAAGCCTCTAATGAGTCTGGATTTTGGTCAGCAGATGAGACCTCTACCGTGTCTTCTTTCTGGGCTGGAGAAGAAGCCAGTATCAGATCATGGCCCAGAGAAGAGGCCAATACCAGGTCCAGGCACAGAGCTAAACATCAGACTAACCCCAGGTCCAAGTCTACATCCAAGCAAGAACCCTATATTGATTCCTGGTCTGGGTCTGAGGATGAGTCTGGTAACCCGTTCTGCTTTTGGGCTGGAGAAAATACCAATAACTTGTTCCGGCCTAGAGTTAGGGAAGAGGCAAATGTCAGGTCCAAGCTCAGGACAAAGAGAGAGGATTATTTTGAATCTGAGTCTGAAGATGAATTCTATAAAGAGTCCTGGTTTTTGCCTGGAGAAGAGGCCAATAATAGATTCAGGCGCAGAGACAAGGAAGAACCTAATAACATCTTGAAATCCAGGGCCCAGAAAGATGCTAAAAACATTGATAGGGCCAAACAAGAGCCCAGGTTTGAGGAAGATGTCATTATTGGGTCCTGGTTCTGGGCAGAAAAAGAGGCCAGTTTGGAGGCTGGAGCTTCGGCAATCTGTGAATCTGAGCCAGGGGCTGAGGAGGGAGCCATTGGTGGATCATTGTTCTGGGCTGAGGAAAAGTCCAGTTTGGGGGCTGTGGCCAGAGAAGAGACCAGGCCTGAGTCTGAAGAAGAGGCCATATTTGGGTCGTGGTTCTGGGATAGAGATGAGGCCTGCTTTGACCTAAATCCCAGTCCTGTATACAAGGCCAATTGCAGGTACAGAGATCCTGCTGAGGATGAGCTTAATGCATCATCCAGGCCTCAAACTTGGGAAGAAGTCACTGTTGAATTTAAACCTGGTCCTTGTCATGGGGTTGGCTTCCCATCCACAAGTCCCTTTAGAATTCCTGAAGGGTCTTCTGAAATGAATGAGGCAAAGTCCAAGAATGTGGAACTTGGCCCAGAAGGGGAAGAGCAGGAATCTTTGCTTCAATCTGATCGGGCTGAACCTGAGTTCCCATTTCAGTATGATCCCTCATACCGGTCTGTGAGGGAAATTCGAGAGCATCTTAGGGCCAGGGAGAGTGCAGAGCCTGAGAATTGGTCCTGTAGCTGCATTCAGTGTGAGCTTAAAATTGGTTCTGGAGAGTTTGAAGAACTCCTTTTATTAATGGATAAAATTCGAGATCCTTTTATTCATGAAATATCTAAAATTGCAATGGGTATGAGAAGTGCTTCTCAATTTACCCGTGATTTCATTCGGGATTCAGGTGTTGTCTCACTTATTGAAACCTTGCTGAATTATCCCTCCTCTCGAGTTAGGACAAGTTTCCTAGAAAACATGATTCACATGGCTCCACCTTATCCGAATCTAAACATGATTGAGACATTCATATGTCAGGTGTGTGAAGAAACGCTTGCTCATGGTGTGGATTCCCTTGAACAGATGACTGGGATAAGGATGCTTAGACATCTCACTATGACTACTGACTATCACACACTGATTGCCAATTATATGTCCGGGTTTCTCTCCTTGTTAACCACGGGCAATGCAAGAACAAAGTTTCATGTTCTGAAAATGCTACTGAATTTGTCTGAAAATCCTATGGTGGCAAAAAAGCTATTCAGTGCCAAAGCTCTGTCAATATTTGTGGGTCTCTTTAATATAGAAGAGACAAATGATAACATTCAGATTGTTATTAAAATGTTTCAAAACATCAGTAATATTATAAAAAGTGGAGCATTGTCCTTGATTGATGATGATTTCAGTCTTGATCCGCTTATGTCTGCATTCCATGAATTTGAGGAGTTAGCTAAGGATCTACAAGTCCAAATAGACAATCAAAATGATCCTGAGGTGGGACAACACAGTTAGTATGGTTAACCACCTGCCGCTGATCAGCCTTATGTTCCCAAAGAACCCTGAATAGTGCTTTGGTGTTCACAGTCTGGCTTTATGTTGTAACAATTTTAATGCCTATATTAACTTGTCAAACTCTTGTTTTGAGCTGGGTTAACTTTTGGATGCCAAAATGAATATTAGAACTGAAAACACATTTGTTGATATTTGTCTTGCTGTCCAGATTGTGATATTTTTTCGTGTTGAGCTTCTGATGAGCTAAGTCATCCGAGTATAAGCTACCCTGCTATTCGTTGTTTAAACATGTGGTTCTCTACTTGAGTCTGTGTTTTCAATAAAGTTCTATGTTAAAATTGGCATAAGTGACCCTTCTTCACTCTGAAAACCAGGTTTAGCTACATTGTTCACACTTACAAGCATTGGTAATTAATAGTATAATAAATGTGCTCATTAGAAATTCCCATTCTTGGATCTTAAGAAAGGAGAGATTGTTGTGGGCCATGTTACTGGAAGAATGCTTCAGAGACGAGGGACCCAGTAAAATTAGTCAATAAAGGATAGGATGAGACAAATCATTCTGAGAAAGTGGGCCATGATGGTGTGAAGAAAAGTGTGATTGGAAAACATTCAAATAGCATGAGTGTACCCAATATGCCTGAATTAAGTGAAGGAGTTCAGTGAGTAATACAGTTGAAAAGATGGGATAAAGTCAGTTTGGGGGACCTGAGTAAACCAAATCTGCATTTTATAATTCAAAGGACAGGTATTAGTTCAATGTCACATAAAGAGTGAAAGAAAGATGCAACTAAATGGGCTCAGGTATAGGATTATCATTTATGATCCTAGTCCAAGGAGAGTGTTAAGGAAATACCATGCAGCCATTAAAATAGTTATGTGTGGATTGATTTATTGATATTAAATGACATTGGTAATTTTATATTCAGTAAACTAGATAACAATGTGGTGTTATCTATGGAAAATTAGATCTAGTTTTTAAATGTATATAAATACAATTTCTATGCAACTTCAATATGACTTATTAAGCAATTTCATATGTTCCACAGTCTGGAATAAAATATATAATGGAAAAATTCTCAGAGACAGGCATTGAGGAAATTTAAAAAATCAATATGCTTATATCTAGTGCCTCAAGTTACAGGTGGGCATGCAAGAATTGAGTTATATAAATGAATAAGTCATTTTTAGAGGTAAAATAACAGAAAAGTAAATGGATGTGGTTTCAGAAAAACTAGCTTTTTATATGAAATGTTTTAAAGAAAAATCACAGTTGATAAGTTTATATTAGTCTCTTGAGGGTACAAAGATAACAACTTTTGCACATGATTATTACATTCAAACAATCGTAACATTTCCTTTTTAGGTGACAACAAAGTTCTGGAACTAGACAGTGATGATGATTGAACAACATTGAGAATATACTTAATTTCACTGACTTGTACACTTTAAAATGGTTAAAATGGGTAAGTTTTATGTTATGTGTATTATGCCACAATAAAAAAGACCATACATTCAGGCAGAATAATTACAGACATCAGAGATAAAAGTGGTTTAGAGAGGAAATCAAAACTTGTGGAAAATATCAAATGTTTTATTATTTTTAGATATGGAAAAATATTACTTCTTATTTGTCTGATGCTGTCAATTTTCACAAAGAAAATTATGACTCATATAAATTAAAAATTTTTTCAACACAACGAACAACTGCCAAGATCAAGAAAATGGTTAAAGGAGATGTGTGTGTATATAATGTACACAATATAAAGATATAAGCAAAATACATTTCTTTCATAGGAAATTAATAAATATTAGAATAAGATAAGATTGCTGAGTTAAGTATAAAACTGGTTAATATCTTACAGGGCAATAGATTGTAACATTTAATGTTATCTGTACCACTGGACAAATAATTTATATATCTATTGAACAAAATATCTACAATTTAACATTAACCTCTATGAAGTTGAAAAATAGTTCAATCAATAGAAAGTGAAACCCAGCACTGCACTGAAACAATATCCAGTAATCTATGTTGACTTTATCCAAATATTGTATAATTTTCCTGACATTCCAACAAAATTTTCTATACCTGACTATCATACAAAGGTGAATAGAAGTAGGGCAGAGTAGCAATTTAGCTTCTATTTGCAAACTGCAAATATTAACATAATTATCTTTGTGGTGGAAATTAGAGGTTGAATGTTTGTTTTGCTTACGAATTTTTTTCAACAGATATTCTGTCAGTTCATGTACGTCTCTGTTTTAATACTTCCAATTATATAAAATACCAAAAATCAGTTCACCTCCCAAATCCTTATGGAACATTTCTCCCTGGCTGAGTGCTCCTAGAGAGCAAGGTCCAGGCCTAGGACTCAAAACTTGGTTTTCTAATCCAGCCTTTCTTCCAGTTCTCTGTCTTCCCCAAGGTCAGGAGCTTCAGGTTCTTCTAGCAAATAGCTCAACCCCAGAAGCATAAAGATTCTGCCATCAAAGCTGCAGAGCTGCTGCAGTCAACCTGGCTGCTTTGGCAAGTGAGGCAGACAGTGGGTTGTGTGGCCAGAATGTTGCATGGGCAGACAGAGTTGTGTTTATTTGCATGGAGAAAGAACAGGAATGATACACACCTGGCAAATGAGACAGATTGGATGAGTATCGGGGTATTTAGGTGGGTAGAAAATGGGTGAGGAGGTGTCTCTGCATGTGTCAGTAGCTTAAATTTCTCAGGTGATCAGAATTACATCATTTGTCGGTAGAGGAAACAATCCCTCAGCCAATCACAAACACCTCAGTTGGATCTGTCTTTTGTCCAGGAGCTCAAGAAATGGGGAGTCATCCTGCAGGAAGCATCCGTGCAGAGAAGCAGCAGTTGCTATTGGAGGAGGTGGGTGCAAGACCAGGGAATGGCATCCTTGGGAGGTAGTGGCTGAGACTAGGGCTGGTACTTGAAATACCTTGGACTCTCCCACTCCCTCCTGCCTTCTGAACTCCCCCATTCCCAGGCTCTCTACTGTGTTTCTGTGTGTGGATGGAACAGGTGAGTATATGGACAGAGTTGGATTCAGGAGCCCAGATAGGGAAAACAGTGAAGTGACAATTTGTGAACACCTGTAGCTCTGGATCAGGAAAGGCAGTGCTAGGAATGAGAACTGTAGGCTATGCTACCACTATTCCTTCTTTCATCATGTCAGTACTCCTGCTGTCTGTCTATTTCCTTAGTGACAGTATTCAGGCCATGGAGATAGCTGAGATCAACTTAACACTGGGAGAGGGGTGGTGGGAAGAGAGGGGAGCACATCTTCCTTTTGATTCAGGGTTCCAGCTGACTTGGGTTGCAAGGAAGGAATGAACTTCAAGATGTGTGGATCTATGGAAAGGGAGAGGAAACAAGGCTTAAGAGGAAGGAACCTAGCTGCTATGGGCTCTTCACATCTGATATCTCATCGGAATATTCCAAACTTCTCAACTTCCAAGAGGATTCCTGGGTCTCTGTCTCATGTAGCAGCTCTCTCCCATTTAGGAACACAAAGTTGCTGATCTATGCAAGGCTCCCTGTTCCTATTGTCCTGTCCTGGGCCTGAGAGGATGATCTTTCTGGGACTACCTACAGAAACAGTTTCATTGATAACATTATAAGTTCCCTCCTCACTGTTTTGCTCTCTGCCTATTTCTTAGGACTTGTTTCTTTGGATCCATCCTAGGTAGCTGTCACTTAATACTTCCTTGTCCTCTTTCTATCTCCCCCACCTCAATGCATCCACTGGGTACCAAATGAAATAAAACTATTCCTCTGCTCATAACATTTCTGATATAAAATGTGTGGGTTCTTCACACTATGTAGTTTTCCAGTTCTCTGAGGATACTAATTAGGTACCCTACAACTTAATAACTAACTACCCAGGGTTATGGGAGACCCCACTGGTTAAGGGCTCAGCCCCACAAGATTACCCTCAACTTTAGAAAACACAAATAGTGAATCTTCTCAGGTTATTCACAATTCTGCCTGACTTGGGTACTAATTAGGAGTTCCCACAGTCATCCTTAGGACTGATAATTTGCTACAAAGTCTACAGAAATCAGAGAAACACTTGACCTACTATTATAGTTCATTATAAAAATATAAATGATATAAGTGAAAAGCCAGATGAGGTGGTACAAGGTATGGAAGGGTCCCAAGCGTAAGGCTGCTGTCCCTATGAAGCTGAGGTGCACCACTTTTCTAGCACATGAATGTAGTCACCAACCTGGAAGCTTGAAAATCCATCACTTAAGGTTCTTATATAAGTCACATTATATTGACATGATTGATTAAATCATTGACTGTTGGTGATTAACTCTTGTTTCCAGTCTCTCTCCCGTCCCTGGAGGTGAGAGTATGAAACTGAACATTCCAACCCTCTAATCATGTTTTGGGTTTTCTGGTGGCAAGCCCTATCCTGTAGTTACCTAGGGGGTCCAGTCACAGTTATCTCATCAGTATACTAATCTTACCTCACCAGAGATTCCAGGAGTCCTGAGGCCTTAGAAGTTCTTGTGTCAGAAACTAGGGAACTAAGACAAATTATGATAATAAAAGATGGTTCTATTGCATATATCTACCAATAAGGAAATTACAAGTGTTTGGGGAACTATGCCCATAACTGGGTACAAATATTCCTGCCTCCTTTGTTACTTTTATTTTTTAATTTAGATGTAATAATTCTGCATATTTGTTATTGTTTGGATCTGAATTGTCCCCCTAAAAGTTCATGTGTTGAAAGCATGATGCCCAATATAGCAAGGTTCAGAGGTGGGACTTTTGGGCAGTGATTGGAACTGTGACCTCATCAGTGTATTAATCTATCTTATGGATTAATAATTTGAATGGACTACTAGGTGTAGTTCTGCCTTTCTTCTCCATCTTCCAAAAAGAGTTTTCCAACTCAAGGCAAAACTAGAATGTGATAAAACACTTAAAATGTTTAAAGAGCCATTCACTCTCAAATCCCTCACCTTAATATCTAGGTCCTGCTTCACTTTGCCCACATTCAAGCCATAGTCTGTTTCCCAACCCACCCATCACTGTAGATGGGTAAGTGTGGCTGGAGGAAGTAGGTCACTGGAACATGCCTTAGGGTACTATATTTTGTCCTGGCTCCTTGCTTTTTCTTCTTTCTGCTTTTTGGCTGCCATGAGTTGAGTATCTTTCCTCTACCATATCCTTCCCTATTATGTTCTGTCTCACCTTAGACTCAGAGCAGTGAAGTTAACTGACCATAAACTGAGAACTGTTACACCATTAGCCCCCCCAGATAAACTTTCCTTCCTCAGAAGTATTATTGTCAGATATTTTGGTGATAATAATGAA